ACTCCTCATGCAACAAGCCTCAGGTTGCATCACATCAACCCATCAGCTGGTAACTGGTAAAATCCATGGGAGACACCAACCTCTCTCTCTCTTTGCCTGCTCTTATCCATCCAGCAACAACATCATTTAGCAGCAACACACTGAGTCACTCTGTGGAAAGGCTTCTGCAATCAGAGAGGATCTGACAGCTGAAACCTCTACACCGAACCACATCATGATAACAAAAATGCCTCCTGTCTAGTTTTATTTATTTTTCCAGCAATTCTTTGCCAGGAGCTCTGTCACAAAAATGAGAGTCAGATCACATTTATGTCACAGATGTCATAGGTAAAGTACAGCAAAGGTACAGTAATTGGAAAACATTTTTATTTAGGTATGAACAGTAAACATTGCATTTACTAAGTTGTACTTTTTCAAATTTTACCAGCTTAGAAATATTGCGTTTGTTGATATTTGCAATTTGGGTGAAGATTGCATCACATTACATGACCAATTTATGCAGAGAACCAGGAAATTGCAAATAGTGCCATTACTTTTTCTTGCACCTGTATGTTCTGTTCTGTTCTGTTCATGTTCTGTTGTTGTTTATGTGGCAATTTGCACATGTAAAAAAACAAACAAACAAAACAAAACCTTGTGAAAAAATGAATTGTTCTTAATGTATCACAGATACTTGCCCCTCAGCCAAACTGATACTAATGCTGCTGTGTGGATCTGTATATCATAAGGGCCAACAGTTTATTCTTTTTCTTTCAATATCCGTTTGTACAGTACACTCAGCATGTCTGTTGCCCTGTAGGCCGTGGGGGCTAGAGGCTGTTTAAAGATCATCTCACGGGCAAAGTCTCTGAACACGTTACCACTGAACTGTGGTCCCTTGTCACAGACAACCTCTTTCAATATTCCATACAGAGTGAATGCTACATTCAGCTTTAAGGTTACTTGTGCACTTGTAGCTGGCATGTGGAGTATCTCCAGATATACTTGGATGACCTTCCTCCCTGGCTGCCCTTGAGCAACTGCTTAAATAGCCCTACCATCTGGGTTAGCCTTTCCTCAGACTGCACCACTTACAGGTAGATCAGCACACAAGCCAGTTCATTAATGTTACTTTTAGCAATAAACATTCAGCAGATTCACAGGCTTTTAAGACCTGCATACAATTCTCAAATCATACCATTTCCAAGTTATTAATCAACACACTAAAGTGACTTAACACTAATAATCCCGACCTCGATACTTGGTTCAACCCCATGACATAATTGATGATGTCAGAGAGTGTATAAAATTAAGAGGTTGTTGGGAGCCTTCTCCTTTTATCCTCTGGCTACATGGTGAGTATAACCAAAAGACTACAAATGAACTTGTAAAACTCAATAGTCCAGGTGTTGATGCTGCACCAAAAGGTTCAACTCATGAAACCGTGTTTAGGAGCTCATTATTATTATTACTGACACCTAGTGGACACATTTTGCAGAGCAAACAGAGACTGATAGATCACAAATTCCTTGCTGCAAAACACAATTATTATGAATATAGAGTGGCTAATAATGTTGCTGTCAGTGATGTTATAATTAAGCTATACCTGTGATAGACAGATAATTGTATGGGGAGTAAAGGTGCTTGTGTAAATGAGGGTATTTGTTAATGATTTTTTATTTAGAAATAATAGTTGCCCCAAAATGTTCACAAACAAGTCCTTCTCTTTGTCTGTGGCTCCATTTTATAAAAGTTGCTGTCTGACAAGTAAGCCTTTCCTCAATCCACTCAAAGGTAAAACAACTTATTCACCTGATTCCAGCAAAGCTAGTTGGTTTGTCATTGGTTACGGGACAGTTAGATTCACAACAAACTTCAAGAGAGGCTTCATTTGGGAACGCCCCCTCTGCTTGACACAAGTTTCGAAGCTTGGGTGCCACACGTAAGATTGCTACTCTTAACTAAATCAATCAATCATCTCCTGTTAAACAATACTTGTATGTCTCACTTTAACCAAAGATATTAATGATAGTTGTTACATAACATAATTCTTAACACAAACCACAGATAGCATGTGTTCGCAAAGTTATGAGTTGAATGTGGAATTTGGCTAAACAAACATTTAACAAGTATGGTTAGGAAGTTGAGAAATGTACATGAAACAATTGGGGACAAATTGAGTGTCCTCACCCACTTTGTCACACTGAGTAAATACAAAGAAGGACTGCAATTCAGCAGTTTTCTGCTTGTAAGCGAAGCTGTTAGTGGGAGTGCAAAAGAACAAACAATCAGGTTAAATGGCAATAAAACAAATGAACAAAGTGGAAACAGCAGAGAGAGTGCAGGTGCAGTTTAGACCAACATGTGGGAATATTGAAATGTTTAGTTCCTGTACATTTAATTGTGGTGAAGCCAATTCAAACAGAGGAATGGCAGTGTAGAAATTGAACTGTTATGTGTTGTATACTGGCAGTCCCCTGTCAGTGCTAAATCTACTGACACAGCAAAAGTCTGAAATGAGTTTTCTGTTTTGTTCCAGCTGGAGAAGACTCTGAAGGCCTAGATTGATGTTTGGGAACAGAAGTATGGCAAGGAGTTTCTGGTGCATGAGCACAACCACCTCCACAATGAAAAGGAGAGAAAGAAAGTGGAAAGGGTATATATTACTCTTAAATAAATAAATTACTTCTCACATGTGTTGCCAGGTCAGCTACTGTATATGACTGATGTTTCTTTGTTTGCAATTGCGACTGAAGAAAACTGGCAGCTTCAGATACAACCCTGGTGACCAGGGTTTGTCCAGCACGACAAGGACCCGAAGCATACAGCGAAAGCTACACAGAAATGGTTTAAAGAGAACAAGGTGAGTGTTCTGGACTGGCCGGGTCAAAGCCCCGACCTCAATCCAATAGAGAATTTGTGGCTGGACTTGAAAAGGGCTGTTCACACCCGATCCATGCACAACCTGGCAGAGCTTGAGCAGTTTTGTAAAGAAGAATGGAGCAGTGTCCAGATGTACAAGCCTGATTGAGATCTATCCACACACACTCAGTGCTGTGATTGCAGCCAGAGGTGGATCTACTAAATACTGACTTGAAGGGAGTGAATATTTATGACTATTAGGGTAAAACATCCAAGGTGAATACTTTTTATAGGCACTGTATATACAAAAACCAGTAAAATGGAAGGTGGAAAGGTAGTTGTAGGTATGTTGTAGTTACTGCAGTAAAGATATACTGTATACCACAAGAAAATGCACTATGAGAAATTTTTGTAACATGACAGCCTTTTTTTGTTGTTGTCTTTGTGCATCGGTTTGAAATAAGTCTATACATGTGTCAGGGTAAAATGGTTAGAGTATAAACTGTGAATACCTGATTAAGACTTAATTTTGAAATGTCTTTGAATAGCTTGGCCTGAATAAAAACATAATTTTTGGAGCATTCAATCAATGTGCAGGCTACATTTCTTTCTTTCTTTCTTTTTGTTTATTAGCCTTTTAGGAAAAGACCATCCACTTTGTAAAAGAAACACGTACAGCAGGATCGCTGGGGCTGGCTAAGGATCAGGGTTTTTACAGACAAGATTCTTTTATTTTCAATCATTTTTGGATAATTAATCTGGGTCTGATGTTTTTACAGTTCTTTTTGTACAGACTAAACAAAGGAGATACAACATGGTAATTATAAAAAAAACTGTCAAAATTCTGCCGCTTTGATTTTTTCAAACTTTGGCCAGAGGCAGACGGGCTTTCTGACCCTGCTTCAAGTGCTTATGCTAAGTTAATCACCTGCTGAGTTTCAGGTTTGGCGTACAGATATGAGGGTGATATTGATCTTCCCATCTAACTCCCAGCAAGAAATCAAACATATTTACTATAATCCATATCTTTTCATTTAAGCTTCAGGCGATCTTTGAGCTCAGAAAAAATATCAACTTGATTTATATCACGATATAATAAACACCCTAAAGTTTTCTGCCATGTTGCTCAGTCCTAACTTAAAGCAGAATGTGGAGCTCAGCCAAATGTGGTCTCTTATCTACATCCTCAATAACTGACTTGTTTGCTTTAGTGATTGAAACAGAAAGAAAACCGAATACAAAACCTCAAGTGTCTATTCTCACATATGATGTCATGCTGCTGTGTCTGATGATCTTTCTAGCACATCATCTCTTTTTTAATTAGCCTTTTACCCTGCCCATTAAAGTGCATGTACCATGACGTAAAAAAAGTTGAGTTTTCTGAAAAAACTTCAGATTCTGAAAAAATAGTAGCAGCTAAAATAAGTGTGGGATTCTCATAATGTTTGAGCTGATTTACAGGCTAATTTAATATCCTGTTAAGAGAAATCTGCTGTAGACAAGATTATGATGTGTTTTTTGGCCACTTGTCTCCAGAAACGCTACACAATACCGTCCACTGCCTTCAAAAGTAACATCTCTGTCAACCCACACAGGTAGGTACACATTCACACATACCACACAGCCCCACACACAGCATCAGGAGAAACCAGAGATAAAAGGCCTTATCGATCAGAACTGCTCTCCCTTAAGGATTACATCATTGCCCTGCAAACAGCCAATCAGATCCCTGCTGAGACTGCCTGCTATGTGACCCCATCTCCTGTAAAATTTATGGCAATGAGAAAGAGAGAAGCACACACGGACACAAAGACTACTCCAGTCATGTCACATGAAGGTACTCATATCATTCTCTAAGGCACTGAGTGTTTTTATATAAGCCTGCACCACTGCAACAGTCCTCTCATTTAATGTAACATTTAGTCATGTTGGGGGCATTTTTCTATTTTTTTGTACTGTGACATGTCAAACGTGTCTCAAACAACAATTCACCCTCTCAGATAACCAGATTTATAAACAGATAGATAGACAGACAGACAATGAAGGGTGTCTTGGAACAATATCTTAATTTCTGCCTACCAATACATTTTTACCTCACTGTGATGCCTCACAGCCCACACACTGAGCCACTGGCCAACCACCTGCGCGTGCAGTCATACCTTGATGTAGCCGCCAGTCGAGACAAGAAGGGAGTTGTCTGGGGAGAAGTGAAGGTCGGTCACCCAACCTCCGTGGAGTGAGTCCATGCCATCTTTACCCTCCCGGGAACAGATCTTCAGCAGAGACCCGTCCTTGACACTCCAGAGCTGCAACAAACAGTCATACCACAACCATGATAAACAACAACGATGTGAGCTGTGAGGGCATTTATATATTTGACTGGATTGTGTTTGCAATCCCCACAAAATGTAGATACTGGTAAAACAAAACATATATTCTTTACATCTTGATGACTGTATCAGCAGATGGAGTTGTCATGGAGATGGTTTAGCTGTTATCACATGACCCAGTATGGAGCTTTGACCATGTTATAATAGGTGGTCGTACAAACGAACATCAAGGGAGATTGTAACAGCTGTCTCTGTTCAAGGATGGTGTCTGGCATCCAGTTTGACCTCGCTGAGGTCACATGATAACAACTGAGCTGTCTCCATGGCAGCTCTACAAATGCCATCAGTTTATGAAATTCATCAGTGGCTCAAATGCAGTTATTTGTCAACCTTCTAAGGTGAAGAACAAATCTTCAAGTTCAATATAATGAAAAACAAAGATGAAAATGAAAGAGTTTGCACAGACACACAGAGTGATAATAAGTCACCCATAATGCACCATATATATAATAAAATGATGGTCTGTGATTCTATCATCACTAGTGCAGCACATGATGTCTCCTGCAGCTGTTTACATGCCATGTTCATCTGACAATGACACATCACACGTACAGCTATATTTAATACTTGGCATGCTTTTATACTGAATGACTCACATTTGTTTCCATAGAAACAGGGATGAAATTTCAGTGCGGTTTAATTTGGATCCAATGGTTCGGCCATTTCTGGATAATGGAGCAGTTCAGCTCAGAGGCCACCAGAGGGCATTAACTCTTTGTTGACTGATGCGCTGCTGTTTGTCACTGCCTGTTCCTCTCTACTTCTCACACAATCCAAATTTTCATTTACTTTGTGTGTGTGCATGCAGGTTTATGTATGAGTGATGCTGATTTCAAAGACTTGAGGATCCACTCTGGCAGCCTGAATCCTCTCCTTCACCTCCGACTGTCAGACATCTCCACCTCTTCCTGTTCTCTTCAACCTGACTTGTTGCACAACCTGCACCCCCTCCTACTCCTGCACGCCTCCTGAGAACAAGCTGTGCCTCCTACCCTTCATCCCATCCTCTTCAGTATGCTCGAGCAATCATAATATATTAGTGAGCACTTTATCTAAACGAGCGATAACGTAATTATGGGGTGATCTCTGGAATAAACTGACTGCTGTAACTTCTTTTTGTAAGTTGCATGGAAAATTTTATGGTTTAAGGCACAGTCACTACCTCTAATGCTAGTAATACAGTACATAATATACAGTATACTGAGGCAGGAGGCTTAGTGAGAAGTCTTTCCTTACCTCTCATCTGTAGCCACTATACTTTTTAGCCACTAATTTTCCTCATAAATCCCTAAAATCCTTCTACTTTCCACCCTCTCTGTTTCAACATTTTGCATTTAGCTGCTATGCTAAGCTTGTTTTCCTACAGCAAAACAAGTCTGAGTCTAAAATAAGATCTGCAAATGCTAACAAAAAGGGCGCATGTTTTGAATACAAACCCGGATCTCGCCGTTATCATCTCCAGTTGCAAGGCGCAGGCTGTCCCAGGAGAACCGGCAGCTTCGGACACAGCCTTGATGACCACTGAGTGTGTGGACACACTGCCAGGACTCACACTGCCACAACTAGGAGCACAAAGTAATGCATTAAAATGAGTGAAAGGCAGAAAGGAGTGCATCAGAGGAACAAATTAAACTATAAAAATCAACAGTGTTTACCTGGGAATAACAACTAACAATAACAATAATAAATATAATAATAGGACAATCATTTTTATTTCTGTTGCTCAGTCCAGTCATCATCTGATCATGGATTTTATAGGGACCAACAATCATGCTAAATGTGGTTAAGTAACAGTAGTTCTGCATCATAATGATGCAACTGTTAATTACTGTTTCTTGTTGTTCTCTCACTTTTTTGACTTCCCTTTCTCATCCGTCTCTCAACCATTGTTCTCTTTATACTGCCTCCTTCCCTCTCTCTTCCCTCCCTAGTCTTTCGCTCTGCATTTCATCCTTACCACGGTTGCATCCTGTGCTACGCAGAAAACAACACGGTTCATAATTAGACACTTCACTTGGCAGCTGGCTAACTCGGTCTGCTCACAAAAACCCATTCATTTGAAGGTCAGCAGAAAAAGAATAAAATAGGGGGGTACAGAGGGAGAGATGTAAAAAAAAAGAAAGCAGCAGAACAGAATGTTCTTCTTTTTGTGTTGCTTAACAAACACTCATGGATGACCTTTTTGGTTTGACCTCTAGAAAGAGGGAGAACAAGGACTTTGATGTTTGTGTGTGTGTTTTGAGCTACCAAACCCCCTACTCGACCTGGAGAGCAAGGACTATGTGAGGGGCTGCTAAAAGCACCACAACACACACACACCTCAATTATTCTCTTTGCCAAATCCATAAAACACACATTCTTTCTCTCACTATCACCCACTGACCCAAGCCAGGTTGTCTGGCAACCCAGCAGCTGTTTTCTACAATAATTGTTTACTAAATCCAAATTCTCTTGTGAAACTCTGTGGCAGTGGCTCTAGAACAAATGCCCAAAAGAGTGGATTTGCATAGTTTCTAATGCTGAATACTCAGGAACAACAACTGTCATCCATGATTTAATATTAGAAGGAGAAATATAAATCTGACCCCAAATCCACAATCATTTACGATCAAAGAAAATAAATAACACTGAGAAGAAGCCAGTGTCAAAGATTGTACAGCATCAGTACATTTCACATCTTTGTGGATGACTAAGAAAAGCAATGATTTATGAGCTGATTGAGGAAAACTTCATCTCCAGCCCAATGAGTCAGTCAAAGTCAGGCCAAAGTCAAGCACAGTGTTAGTAAAAGGCAACCTGGCAAAAATGACATCCAGACCGAAAGACAGGTCGGTTGCGGGCCAGCCCGCCTGCCAGGCTGGTGGGTTAGCTGGTCCATGGGCTGCATTCAGATTAAATGATCACTGGACATGGATGTAGGAGGACAGGCCGACCTGCAGCTAACTCACCAGGCCCAGTGCCATCTGCTGCATGCTAATCTCTAAGACAGGCATGTCCAAAGTCCGGCCCGCGGGCCAATTGCGGCCCATACAGTCCATTTTACCATTTACCATGTTCAAATTTCCATTGGCCCGCAGCCTCTGTCATAAAATCAATAATATGCGGCCCGCCAGCTCTGTTGACCACAGTATAAAATACACGCGTACAAAAAAGCCATTTTATATTTCGCCAGAAGATGGCGTTAGACCTGTGGCCGCACTTTCGCCACGTGACCCTTGTGTGATCCTTTCCAGCCCATTTCTAAAATGCTGGAGCTCGTTGAGTTGCAGTGTGATGCCGAGTGTCGCAGTCAGCACCAACGGCTCCCTCTTGTCAACTTTTACCGCCGACTGGATAAAGGCAGGTTCCAAGAGATTCGAGCATTTGCAAAGAAAATGCTGAGCTTGTTTGGCTCAACATACTTGTGCAAGAAGTATTTACTGCAGTCGAGATCTCAGTATCACCCTTCACATTAGTGCAGGCAAGTCATTTGTTTAGTCTGAGGTGAATACATTCTAAAATCTCAGTGAATTGATTTTTTTTTTTTGCGATGAACAAAACCGCAGTTTTGAATATGCACTGAGTCTTTTCAATCAGTCTTTTGTTTTTCAAGTGACAATCAAACCGGGTCTAGTAAACCCAACAAATTAAATATTCAAATCAAATTCGGTCCGGCAGCCTGTTTTTTCATTTCGTATTTTTGATCCGAGTCTAAAATTGAAATAATGAAAAATTTGGCCTTTTTTGATATCCCAATATTTTTGATGGTCAATTGAAAAACGAAAGAACAAGTGATACACGGAATCATATGGCACTCTTGGAGCTTCTGGATAAAATAACTATTAGTGTTATTTTCCTGTTCACATGTTTTGAATTTAGAAGTTTACAGTGAGCATTTAATAGTGATTAATATGTAATGTTTCAAATGAACCTAGATATGTTTAATCTTCCTCAATTTTTTTTCCCCAGACAGTCTTTTTCTTCATTTTATGTGGTCTTCAAATATGAAAGGCAGAGTGATTTTGGTAAAA